CAAAGCAGGACCAAATTAGGTTAGGTCACTCAAGGCCTGTTCTAGTCTAGTTTTCATTATTCCTAAAGATGAAGATTCCACAATGTCCCTGGGCAACTGTTCCAATGTTTGATGACACGCATGGTGAAATTTCTTTTTCCTATGTAGAAGGAGATTGTAATAAGCTGTAATAAGAGATTATTACAACTTTTGTCTGTTGTCTCATGTTCTACCACCTTGAGCCTACACCTCCTTGATATCCTCCCATTAGATGGCTGATGCCAGCTGTAAGTTGCCCCTCTCCCAGCCTTCTCTTCTTTAAAATGAACAAACCCAGTGTCTTAGCCTCTCCTGATGAAAAGTTTTCACTTCAAGGCAAACTCACTGTTGATAATGATGGTTGGTGCCTTGTGCTAGATTACCTTTGTTTTTATCTTACGTATTTCTCCTTTCATCTCCAGCTGTATTCTCCTACGTGCACATAAATTTTGGTGCTTTTCAAGTAGTTTCCTATTTTCCTATATCCCGTTATTGCTCTCTACTCACATTCCATCCTTCCCCTGCCCAAATCTTTCCTCTCTTGTTTTGCCTTTTTTCTTCACACAGCTCACTGCCTCGCAGTCCTCCCAATATATAACTAGCTAGTAATTGCTTCAGCTCCACCTCTTTTACCTAAAAATCGGTTACTCAACTGATCTTCTGTCAACAGTTCCGCAGGAAACAGTTCTTTGTCACTTCATTATTTTATCTCAGATGACTGGATTTTTGATGTCCTTTTCCATTTAAAACCCCAAAAGCCACACACTCATATCCTTATATTTCTTTTCTGCTCTGTCTCTCCATCCCTCTTGCCAGTGGATTCAGTTCAGGGCTTATTCTAGCAGTGGCTCCCATTATCTAGTTAAAGAAAGTGTCATGGCCCATATCTGTTATCTTCTCTTTTAAACTCCATGCTGATTTCTGCTTTGCCTAGAGTTGTTCTCATTTAAGGCCATCTGTAGCTCAGCACACCCAGTTTTCCCTAGAACTCAAATTCAGCTATATCCATTCATCCCTCCCAGTTTGACCCCAATGCCAGCTTTGTCACTGTTCGTTTTTCATACTCTCACACCTAGTATTCATTCTTGCTGCCCAACAGTACACCTGGGAGCAGAACTTCCATATAAGAAACAGACCACTTGTCTCAGTCAAGAGGAGTCCAGATTTGTGCTTTTCTAAATGTCTTCCTATGTCCCAGCTCAGTTCCAAATCGTATCTGGGTACAAAATGTCCATGTCACCTGTCTCACGTTCCCTAAAAACACTGCTGGGGGTACATAAAGCTCTATTGAAGTTTCTCACTGCCCTTCTTGGTTCCTCTCCACTTGCTATATTTTGTTTTTCTCTCAGAATATTTGCTCTGTGCCCTTATTGTCCAGAAGAGCTTTTCAATGACTATTTCTCACTCTTAACTTCTTTGGTTCTTGGTCTGACCCCTCCCCATTTTCATTTTCTTCAGCCCCCTTCCCCCTCACTCCATGATTCCAGTGCTTTTCTCTGCTGGTTTTGATATTTGTTATTGTTAGAAGCCTGTCAGAAAGTGCTCATCTGGCCTCATAGGTGGAACTTGTCTCCAGTGGGCAATCAGGCATATACAGGCAACACAAGGGCAAGTGTTACAGGGAGAAGCTGAGGAAAATTGGGCCAATGTCTCAGAGATGAGCTGTGTCCAGCTGAACTGTTGTGGCATTCTGACACTGTGCCAAGATATGAAAAATGACTGAGACAAGCTGAGAGAAATGCGCTTGCGCACTCTGAACTCTGCCTTTTCATTTCATAGTAACTTTGACTTCATGGGAAGTGGCAGCTTGCACTGCCCCCTGAGGTGCTAGTTCTGCAGTCCTCTGTCCTTGCATTGAATATTGTGAATCAATAAGAGCTAAATCTGTGTTTTCTTGGAAAGTACTGGTGCCTAGGGAATAACCAAGTTGTACTATCTGCAGTGACAAGGCCTGTGGCTTAACTGGTGTTGGTGTTTTGTGTGAAGTTGTTCTGCAGGCACGCATGAAGGTGTTTTAGGAGAAGGTACACTTGTTCAGGCTTTCTCTGGGATGATCTTGAAATGGTAATGTTCACTAAAGCAAAACATGCTGGTCCTGGTGATGGTGGGCTTGCTTCAGCTTAGGTATTTTTTATGACTGTCTCCAGTGAGCACGGTAGTCATCTGCAGAGATTGTAGGACCACAGCAAGTGGACATGATGCAGTAAGGATGATCTGCAGTAAGAAGGGAGTGTAAGGTACATGAAGACAGAAAAATCTCATGGTGTGAAAAAAGGGATCCTTCAGAAAAAAATGAGAGATGGATTTTGTCTGTGTGCAGAAAGGTAGCCTTAGGCTCACTGTAACTGCTGGAATAAAAGGAAAAGGCTTTTGCCTATTTAGATTTCCAGGTAATTTTTTTCTCTTTCCTCTCAACTTGACCTTTGATACACTATTTGTAGAGTGACTGGACTGACTCAATGCCAGGAAAAGCTCGATGTCATGGGAACTTTTATTGTTGCCATCTGTGGGCTAAAGCCCTGACTGCAGTGAGCTAGCTTATCTTGGGCAGTTTTTGAAAGGGATAAAGGTCTCGTGAATGTAAGCAGCTCCCTGACTGGATGCAGAGGCAGAGGTCAGGGTTTAGGTGCAAGCGGAAGGTGTGTGATAGCTGTAGTCCCTACCTGTGGAGGCCATTCTTTAGCCACATGGAGGCCAGCTAGTGTCTACTGTAATCAGTTGAGCTTTATTGGCCAAAATTGCCAATGTAAATAAAATGTAAGTAACTACAATTTGCATATCATAGTCGTCTTCTTTCTTTTTTGTGTTGTTGTTTTCTTGTTGATTTGTTTTGGTTTTTTTTCAACTATCTTTTCATTAGGAAGGTGGGGGAGGTGTGAATCATGTTTAATAGCTGCAAATCAGCTCTGCTTGCAGTATGCTGTATTATTTCATTTAGCTGTTTTTCTTCTGGAAATAGAAATATCCTGTGGCAGAATGAGAATTTCAAAGCCTGATCCTTTCTCTGTGTCTGACATCCCTCCTGGAAATACCAGCATGCATTTATAGGTTTATGAAGTCATTATGTTTTTCACTAGACAATAAAAAAATAATCACTGTGGAGTGATCTTTCCTCCTAAATTGCTCTGGATTCCACTCCATAGTTCTACAGCTGCCATTTTTGTCATGTGAGTTGAACTGGGCACGTGACTCTCTTCCTTATTGCTTTTCTTTACACTTTTCTGTCTCTTTTAAACTCTTTTCTCAGGATCCTCACTCAGAGGGAATCTGCCAATCCTATTCTTATTTCACTTCTGAACGTCTGAAATGAGATGTAGCCTAGTGTCAAGAACATTCCATTGACATTCCCTGTCCACCCACAATCATGTACGAGGTGAAAGATATGGCAGTGGGGCAACCAAGACACAGGGATCTATCCACGTATTTTAATACGCATATATTTATATAAAAATTTCCACAAATGAACTTTCACCTGAGCTTGTTAGTTCATGAAATCTAAAAGGGATCTATCTATTTATATAGAAAATCAACTTTATAAAACTGATGTAAAACTTACATAAAAATTGTAGAAGCTTTATCCTAGCACTTCAATGTAAGATCCAAGCACGTTCTGTTAGGTAATTCAGCATAGCATCTTTGCCAAACCTAGAATGTACCATATTGTTAAAAAGTTATTATTTTTTAATTTTCTTTCCTTGTAGGATGGATTTCCATCCTTGTTTCAACTTTTTGCTTAGGCGTATTCCTATGCATTTGCAGATTAAATTTGACTAAATTAAGAGGCTTTTATCCATTATTGGGAAGTTTCCAGACCTACAGGAAAACAATAGGACTGCCAATCTGAGTGCCTGCTCCTAATTTTGATGCAAAATCGGCCATCATAGCTTATATTACTTTAAGCAATGAAACTGTTGAAAGCAGCATAAAAAATCCATTTTAGTGACTGTATTGGGTGGGGAGAAGGAGGTATGGATAATACCTCTAACTGTTACAGCTGTTTCCAGACAGATTGCATGACTATGCTCTTTCGCTTCTCCAATGCTAAAGCTCTTTGAGTGACTAATGAGAAGACAATTATTTCAGATGACCAAAGCTGTCTCTGGACCGGTTCTCTTTCATCTGCCAGTGAATCAATTTAAGCAGCTATTGTACAGAATAAAATAAACTTTTGAAATTGCAACTTTAACAATACATGCTCCGTAAAGCAACAAAACCAGTAGTATCTATTTTATGTACTAACTTCATAGAATCATAGAATGGTTTGGGTTGGAAGGGACCTTAAAGATCATCTAGTTCCAACCTCCCTTCCATTAAACCAGGTTGCTCAAAGCCTTATCCAACCTGGCCTTGAACAATTCCAGGGAGGGGGCATCCACAACTTCTCTGGGCAACCTGTTCCTGTGTCTCACCACCCTCACAGTAAAGAACTTCATCCTAATATCTAATCTATATCCACCCTCTTTCAGTTTGAAACCATTATCCCTTGTCTTATCACTACAATCTCTGGTAAAGAGTCCCTCTTCAGCTTTCCTGTAGGTGCCCTTTAAGTACTGGAAGGCCGCTAAAAGGTCTCACCGGAGCCTTCTCTTCTCCAGGCTGAACAACCCCAACTCTCAACCTTTCCTCACAGGTGAGGCACTCCAGCCCCCTGATCATCTTCATGGCCCTCCTCTGGACCTGGTCAAGTAGGTCCATGTCTTTCTTCTGTTGGGGGCCCCAGAGCTGAACACAGTACTCCAGGTGGGGTCTCAACAGAGGAGAGTAGAGGGGGAGAATCACCTCCCTCGACCTGCTGGCTACACTTCTTTTGATGCAGCCCAGGATGTGATTTGCTTTCTGGTCTGTGAATGCACATTGCTGGCTATTACTCAGTTTTCTCCCTATAACAGCAGCACAAGTTAAGTGTAAGTAAGATTGCATTGTTTCTGAAATCTGAATTAATGACTTTCCTGTTTCTGCCTCTCTTGTTTTCCTCCTGTTAGCCTGTCCCCTTGGTTTCTTTAAAGTATCTGTGGGAAATGACCCCTGCCGTCTATGCCCTGCCCACAGCCACGCTCCACTGCCAGGTTCCAGTGAATGTGTGTGTCAGAACAGCTACTATCGATCTGCTTCAGACAATTTTGATGCTCCCTGCACTGGTAAGTATTTGGGTGGAGTGGTTGAAAGCAAGGAGGGCAGTCAATGAGAGAGAATGTGCCTGAATGAGTCAGGGGAGTTGCAATTTACTTCTTCTCATGATCTCTGAAATAACCCAAAACTTCCCTTTGTTCCTCCAGTTGACTACAAGGTATTTCCACTTGCTGAATGTCGATGAGAAGGCAGAAGTGTTCCCATGTGCTTTTTACAATGTTGATGCATTGGTGAAACTGTTTTGAGAATATAGGGGTGTTACAATACTAGATGTTCAGAAATGGAAAAATGGCAGATTTTAGATGACTCATGTGACCTTAAATAAGTCCATTGCAAGTATGGATAAGATACAACTTTTAATGAAAGAATAATATACTGATTTCTCATGAAATGACAAACTCATTTCATACATGGGGTAAACATTGTTTATTGGAGATGTTAACCAATATTTTCTTCCCTTTATCATTAAAGGTGTGAAGACCATATTTACTGCACAGAATTCAAATTCTGAAAATTTTATTTATAGGAAAATAATTTATTTTTTCATTGGCTTCTCTGTGTTTCTTATCAGTTGTGACTTTTCTCAGTCATTGATTATGAATATTAATAGGTCAAGAAAGAATAATTATATGCAGAAAATGAAACAAGGTTAGTGATTAGCACTGAAGATATAGTTTAAATAGTATATTAAACATCATCCTTGAGCTTTGTGGAAATGACAGGGAAAAAAATTAACTTCCTAAAACATCTTGCAAACACTTTATGGCTCTGAAGTTAAACACTCAGAAATTAGGAAATGTGATTGTAGTTTTTCTTCTGTAATCCCTTGCTTCCTGTACTGCATAGAATCCGTCTTCAGTGGCATCAAGTAGTCTTCATAGGGATTATTTTTCCTGAGCGGTTGTCTATCCTTTGCATTGATTGTGATAGGAATCCTCAGGGAAAACTAGTATGTGATCCTGCGATTAAATAATATACCACAATGCAAATGTTGAGTGTCACACTTAAAATCACAAAAGAAAATTTAATTCTGGTATTTCCTGATGTACAAATGCTTTGTCTTGTCAGTAATACATTTTTAAAATAGTCTTCTGCATGCAATTTTACAGCATAATTTATAATTTTAACAACAGTGGAAATGTGAGTCCCCAGGGAAATATAGCTATTGTAAATACTCGAATGCTACAGTAATGAATTAGACTGCAGCCAGAGAGATCCCCCACAAAGACCTCATCCACTTGTACTAATAGAGGGTGTCATCCTTTATATCAATCAGCGTTAGATGAAGAAAAGACTTTGCACGTAGTTTTCATTGATATTTCTTGACTATAGAGTAATTTTGAGGATGAGGATTCTTGGGTATCATTACAACCTTCAGAGGGAAATGTTCTGTAAATCATGTTTCCCTTGCCCCTCCCTGTTACTGAACTCAGCCTCTCTGTCCCTACCTTTCCAGTCTTGCTTTGTGTCTACGACCAGGTTTAGCAGTGCAACACTGCTGCTAATTTTTACCTGTCTGAGCGCTTTTCTAGTGCCAGTGTCTTGTCCCATTCTCATCCCTATGCCATCTTCTCACCCTCTGCATTTTCCTCCTTCTCTTCTGTGCCAGCAGAGGAAGTGTTCGATGCACCCAATGAGCAGTTTTTCACCTGTCAGAATTTACTCCCAATGCCATTCAGGAATCTGGCTGGCAGCA